CCTTGTAAATATGTAATTTCATACTAAAAGTGAAAGCATTGGCTTGAAGTGTCTAGGACTGCTTTTCCTTCTGTGATTGTTCATCTCACATTTGATGTTCTCTGTCTAGGATCCTCTTAAATATGGCTACCTACTCTATTTTCAAAAGACATGAGAAAATATCATGCAGGCTGCTTATTTCCTCCTCCTCTCTGTAGTTCCTGTTGCTGCTTCCTTAGTAAGTTACACTAGCTTGTTTCAAGTTCTTTTGGTCTGCTTTGCTAGAAAGTGACACAGGAAAGCTCCAGGACTGCCTATCAGGAAGTTAAAATTTCTTACGTTTGTGCTTGATTTACTGTATTTAAAAATGTGGATAAAAACAAAGTTGTTGTCAAGGAGTCTGTGTATCCATGTTGCTTTTTCGTGCTCTTTTTGCAGAAGAGAGGCAGGTTTTGGGCCTTGCTGGGAATGCTTTAGAGGTCTGTTCTTTCTCCACTGGAAGATGGCTCAAACCATGTCAGAGAACTGGACACTAAGTACTGGACAGACACTTCTAGTGGGAGTGACCCTGAACTAAGTCACCTTCATGGAGAAGCTGAACTTCAATGATTTGTGTTTAGAAAGAGGTTCAGCACCTTAAGCTGCTTCTACAGTAGTAACTTACATGGAGAGACTGAAATGATGATTTTCTCAGGACGTAGACATGTCATAGTATTTTTTCTATTTGCTAGGAATCATTACAACTCAAAACCTGTATTTTGCTCACAAGTTGTTCTATTTAATATTGCTTCTTGCTTGTCTAAAGTGGGGTAGAACTGGTGCCTTTAAACAATGACCCATGAAGCATTAGAATAAAACCATGTTAACTTAATACACAATTGGCAGATTAGTTCCTCTTGTAACTCTTGTCAGGCTGCATTTGTATGGAAATTAGGGTGGGGTGATTTTAATGTACTCCTAAACTATTTTATTTTAAACATTCCTACTGTGCTAATACACTTAAAATCTAGCATGCATTGCATTTTATTTACAGCTGTTTAATTGAACTGGTTGCTTCTGGGTTACTGTGTTCCAGAAGATTTAAAGCTGATAAACCTCACCTGATAATTTCCGCCCCCCCCACTCTTCTAGAGTTTGTAGGAAGAAAATACATTGTTCTGCTTTTCCAGTCTCTAGTTGGTTTTATAATTTAAAATTGAGTGGTCACAGGATTGAACTGATGAAACTATATTGTTATTTTTCAGAAGCAATAAGGGATGGAAAAAGCTGTTTCAGCAGTTGAGGAAACAGTATTTCCAAGTGCTTAGCTAGGATCTCTTTGCCATATTTTACTGTTGGCAGCCTACATCATCCAGTTTGAAAAATAATATGAATTACTTTATTGCATTATAGTAAATGTAGGCATAAATATCAGCTATCAGATTTTAAACCTATGCATTAAAATTATTGTAATTTGGGTTATTTCGTTCTATGAGTATAGTGAGAATCTAAACTAGAAGAATTAACACACAAAACCAACCTACCTCAAATGTATCTTAAGACCTCTGTCATATGAAAGCTTCATGGTTTGACTTTTGGCTCTATAGAAAGCCACCTTTGTGAGCCTGAGACACTAGGGATATCTGCATTTTTTTCTTCTGAAGCTGCTCACAATGTGCTGTTGTCTGGCAGTATTGATAACCTACCTATGAGCTTGGAGCTGATTATTGGAAAGCCTGTGTATCTCCCTTTTCTGGATCATGGCCTTTTCTCAGATTAGGCCTAGAATCACCATAGACTAATTGTTCTTTTGATGTTCTCACCTTTTTGCTACTGTTTCCTTTTTCTTACTGTTTCCTTTTTCCTCATTTGGAGGGCTCCTTTTCACTCATCAGGGAGGTGTGAGCAGTGTACATGACATTCAGAAGTAGAGTGGGTATCCAGTTTTGAACTACAGATTTCTGAGGTTTCTTTGTTACCTCTTGTAGAAGATAGTGATCTTTACTGCTTTTTCTCCTTGAATTAATTTCACGTTGTCTTGGATCTGAAATCAGTCAAGCTCAAACTTGTTGGAGATGATGTTTGCAAAAAAGGGATTTGCCCTCGGTTTTCCCAAGGTTCATGATTCACCAAGGACCTGGTAGACTAGGACAAGACCTGGTGGCACTTTGATTCTTAAGGAGATTAGCTTCCTGATTAGGGAAATCTCCATAACATGTAATGTGGAATCACATAAATATTTTTCATAGAAAATGGGGGGGGGGGGGGGGGAGGAACCCTCTACTTTTCTACATTGGATTATGGCATTTTAAGGATATTCTTGGTTTTCATATCTTGCTTCCTCTGTACTTAATAGGTTCGTTTCTATAAGTGGCAAATTTGGTGTGGCATGGAACTTGGGAGTGCTGAGGCATAATGCCTTGGTGATCTTTTCTGGGTTCTATCTCTGACTGGTTTTGGTCACTTTACCAACTTAAAGGTATTTTACTTGCTTGCAAGTTGAAGTGGTCAAATGTACATGCGTTGGATTTGTCAGAAATCTCAAGCTTGTGATGTTCTTTGTCTATCTTCCTTTTTGAGGAACTTCATGAACTAGGATGGAGAAACTCATCTGAATTGTTTACGGATCAGGACTGTGACCTCTCAGTTTGAGTGTTATGGAAGTTGGCCATGCTCCTGCCACGTCTGAAGGGGTCTCAATCAAATTCTCTAGGCCATACTTAGGACACATTAAATGGTTATAAGGATATCAAGCCATTCTCTTGTGGAGTTGGTTACAGGAGTCATAGAATTTTGTGGGTGGTGTTTTTGTTGGTTGGTTTGTTGGTTTTTTAACACAAATAATTTGTAAAATCACCTGAGCAGAACATCAAAATGTTGCCAATGTCTGTCAAGTCTTCAGAGTGCTTGGCAAGTGCCTTCTCTTTAGCTTCTCAGGGTGCCTTCATGGATGCATGGCATGATGCAGCCTTTCTGATGGCTTTGGGAGCTGGTGCCTAAGGATAGCAGGGAGAGGTAGCCTTTCTAGAAGTCTTAGAGTGGCTGAGTTTAGTGCCTGAACCTAGCATATCTGTTGGTACAGTTTCCATTCCTTTGAGACATCCGTTCATTGTTTCTGCCACTGTTTTGGACTGACTCTTGTATTTTAAAAATCTTTCAAAATGACCAGGATACTTTCATATCAAGCATTCAGCATAGAAACCACTGAGGTGCTGTTTCTGAGATTAGTGAAATCTTCAAGTTCATTCCTTAAACTTTCTTGGGCTCCCAGCTTAGCCTGTCTTCTGATCTTGATCTTGCTCTTTCTCCTCTACCTCCTGTCTTTCAGTATAAAGTTACCAAACTTACAGGAGCTAAAACACAAGGTCCAACATTTTATGCTGATACCCGGCTGCGTTAAACTCTGATGTGTAAGCAGATTGCTGTTAAGTCATGGCTCACTTGACAAGTCAAGTGGTTTCCTGGCTCTGCCTGCATTGAGATACGTAGAACTGCAGTGTTCAGCTGCTTTTAGTGCTGCTCCCTTGTTGGAGCTGCAAGATCACTAGCAAAACTTGGACAGCCTCCATTTGCTTAAGATTCCTAGAGCATTCCTCTGTGGCTGGGTAACTGTGCAATGGGAGAGTGAGTCACATGGAGACATACTTCAGGAGGAACGGGCAATTACCTTTTACTAATTGAGGTTTATAAAGGTTCTGTTTATGCCAGTCCAGATATTGGCTGCCTTGGCTGAAGAGTGCTTTATAACTCTGATAGAGTGAGTCTAACACTTGGGAAAACTTCTTATTGCAGTGGAATTGGCACATTCAGTGGGTACCTAAGGTCTCTGTAGTGTTCATGAAGGGCAGGGTAGATCTTAAAGAACAAGGCTACTCTATATTTTCTAAGATGTGTAGATAGCAGACAGAAAGAGTGATATAGTGGCAAAAAAATGCAGTAACTTAAAGCAACCACTAAAGCTCCCAAACGACTTGAATGAATTATGGACATAGTTATCCAATGATTAATTTACCAATTTTGCAACTACTAACATAATAATAAATATTGTTTTGTTATTTGTTGGTAAAGAATGATCTGAATTTGGACTGGTTTTGTTTTCTGCTCTTATAAATATTCCTACAGCTAGGAAGATTCCTAGAAATGTGTCATCTTGATTTTTCTGAACCTGGTCATAAGTTGCTGGCTTTTAGGTCCCCTGGATGTTCATAGATGTTCAGTCTTTAAAAGGCAGTGACGGTTTTCAGGATACAGTAGCAATTTTCTGAACAAAGTTGCAAAACACACATTTTCACAGGACTTCTTAGTGTGTGCATCCAATGTCCTCTTTCCAAAATGCTTCCCTTGTTTCTTTACCATAGTATGAATGTCTTTAATATATTTAACCTTGCAGTAACACCAAGACAGGGAAACGCCTTTGTTTCCCCTTTATTCCTGGGATTTTGGCATACAGATAT